TTTATATTCATAGAACTAAAGGACACGAAATATAAGACATGAAAAGATATATACGTATCTGTGATATTTTACTTTTAAATTTTCGTGTTGTGGCATTTGAATCTTTTAAGTAGTAATTACTGACTTTATGTAAAATGGAATTTAATTACATAATAGATGTTATGAGAGTTTAGAGTTTATAATAAAACTGATGAAGAGTTATTGGAATGAATGAGTAGGAATAAGTTAGTGAAATCACAATTTAAATGCAAACAACATCTTTGCCTAACCTAACGTCGACCGGGCACGCCCCTTTTTCATCTACATCATAAGAGCACACTAAAAGTGTGACGTTATTTTGGTTCCACTGAAACTTAATTCTAACCAAACTTTTAACAATATTTGACATATACATTTTTACCGTTTTTATTTTTTTTTTTTTTTTTTATTAAATAAGTATGCAAGTGTTTACTAAATGATTATATACTTGAAGCATGTTATCTACTTGCTCTAGAAATATATTTATACAAGTATTAAAAGTAATTTAAAAAAAATCGACTTCAAAATCGTGCAGATGCCGTCACCACATCTTAACCAAATTTATATGGGACCACCTCTGAGGTACCCCCTTATTAACAAAAAAAAGAATCATAGAAATTGGACAAGGTGGTAAAGAATTACTGCTAAACATACATTAAAAATGAAGAGATTGGGGATTTTCTAATGGACCCAATTAGATTTTGACTAAATTAATATAGGACCCTTTCTAACAAAAAAAGAATTATTGCAATCGGACACCGTGTTAAAGAATTATCGCTGAACATACTTAAAAAAAATATTACGACGAATTGAGAACCTCCTCCTTTTTTGAAGTCAGTTAAAAAGTTTAAAAACAATATAGTTTAGATAAACAAAATGCACTAAACAAAAATACTGTTAATGTAATTGTTAGTGTGCCCAATAACAAAAACAGTCGCTAAAATCGTTGGGGCGAAACCAGTTTGTAACACGCTTAGTATATTTGTTTCAAATTTAGTTACTAGAGTGGAAATATACTTTAACCAGAATTATAGCAGGAAAATATGCGTATTTTATCATTATGCACTGACGACTATGAAAACATTTCTTTAATAGTATATTATGCAACGATCATGTAATGATGGTTATTAATACACGAGCATTAACCGGGATATGAAACGAGCCAAAGGCGAGTTTCGTATGGTTTATGCGAGTGTTTTAATAACCATTACATGAGAGTTGCATACGCTATTTTTTCTACACCCGATAAATAATCAAGACCTATAAATATTATATTTATATTGGTATTGAACACAATAACAGTAATTACTCGTATTTCTATAAAAAATTCTACAAAATTGTAATTAATGGTATTACTTCAGGTATTGGTATTTCCCTAGATTTTTGCGGTAAAATATTTTGTACTGTATTTTCTGCTTTCTCCGATATGTGTGGAGGAGTCTTCTATATCGCTAATATCAGACATTTTAATATTATAATTATCGAAGTTTAGCTACCTACGAAAATTTAATACGTTTTGACAACTAAAATAATTACATAGGAACCTAGGACAAACGTCAAACAGCATGCTTGATTGAAAAATTGTAGGTTTCTATTGATTAAAAATCTGTATCGTAATGAAAAATCTGTATCATAATGGGTATCATTATGAAACGGATTATGGGCATATAAGTGCATTATTATAATACGGGTGTAGAAAAAAATATATGTATTACTGAGAATAAAAATATTTCTATTATTTTTATTTAAATTTGCCACCAGAAAATCCTGTGAGATAAAATCTTTGTAATTTCAAATACATACATCCTTTTTGCATAATACTAATTATAGGGGACCAAAAGTATAAAAACAGTTAAATATGGTAGACTCTCAGAGCTCTCAGAGCTCACGTCAGCAAGAGTCAAAAGAATACCTCGATGAACGCAGACGTATTTTCTGAGATAAAGATACTTTAATTATATTTTTTTTTCGTTTTATGGCCTAGGGGTATATACCTGATATGCCAGTCTCAGTTTGTGTTTGTCTTCTTATTCATACAGGAACCGCACTGTTAATTAGAAATCAACAGTGAATGGTCGAGTGGGGAATCCTACCTATGCATTAGAATTAATATTTAATATTTTTTATTAAATTAAAATTCCTGCCACCGATGGGATTCGATCCTGAGACCTTTCGATCTCAGAGTCATGACTCTAACCACTGAGCCAATCCACCCCCCTACTTTAATTATTTTGTAAACAAATTGGTCAATACACAAATCACAAAAGTTTAAATAAAGAATTTTTTAGAGGACTGTCATAAAAAATGACATTTCACCACATACTTTGATTTTCTTTTACTATACGGAGAATGGTCGCACTGCGCAGCTTTCTGAGTGCCTTTTAAAAGGAGATAGAAAACTCCGCCATTTTGAATCCTTATTACGTGTTGCCTACATCTTGGCGCAATATTTTTAATAGGTGCGTTTTAATCATCCGCTTCTGCTTCGGAATTGTCGGTTTTCTTGTTTTAATTTGACAAGTTAAAACGACTAAACCGACAATTCCGGAAGCAGAAGCGGATGATTAAAACGCACCTGATATTTTGCTTGCGGCTGTCAGTGTCAGTGAATATTATTTTTTGAGTCACAGATTATTGCTAAAGAATCAGTTAGCTCACTCGGACCAGTTGAAAGTTTCAAAATAAGATCCACTCCAGGGATACAAATTTAGGATACGCAGAAGACTGCTGTTTTTTTATAGGCGGTTGTTAATATGTTGTATTATCCGAGTTGCGCAGTGTATAAACTGGAACATTGAGATCAAAAGTGCCGACGCAGAGTGAGCGATCTGATTCTTTAGCTATAAACTGTTGCATAGGGTTCAAAATGGCCGAGCCCTATGTTGGGCGTGTCGGACCTCTCTCTTGCGCCGTATAGTAAAGAAAATCAAAGTATGTGCATTAAAGCTGCTTTCAAGTGTCACTGTTTTAACCGCATTTACTTTATATTCGCTTTTTATAACTACAGGTTTATCAAACTTATCGTTAGTAATTCTGTAAAAATTTTATCAGTTAAGAATGAATTAAAATTTTGAAACAATGTTTGCATTCAAGCCTCTTTTCAAAAACAAGAATGCAAAAAACTGAATGGCTCTACCTGACGAAAAAACTCAAAAAGGCAAACTCCGAAATATTTCATGTACAATTTAAAAATATACGCAACTCCAGTAAACAGAAAATAAAAAATGCATATGACCAATATTTACAAAAAGCACAAGATTCAATCTTAAAAGATACAAAAAAAAATTTGGTATTTTATACAAAGTAGGATATCAGGAGTCCTTAAACTTAAAAATATTAAAGCCTAAACCCTCAAGTGGAGTCGATGGTATTCCCAGCTACATAGTCAGTGTTTATAAAGAACCTCTACGAATTATCTTCAATATTTTATCAAAAACTAATATATTTCCGAGCATGTGGAAAAAGTCTAAAATATGACGAGTTTTTGAGCAAAATCGAATAAATCCTCTATAAAACATATTTGGGAAAAACTCAATTTAATTACACAATTAACAACATTCCACTTTAAAAGGTAGATGAAACAAAGGATCTAGGTTTTCTTTAGCAACAAGTTTTTCATCACATTTAATAAAAAACAATAGCATCTGCAAAGAAAACATTGTGTTTTATTTTTCGTAACTGCAAAGACTTTAACAACATTAAATGCTTAGAAACCCTATTCAATACTTATGTAAGATCGCGCCTAGCATACTGTTCAATTGTCTAGTCACCTGGATACAATATTTACATTAATCAAATCGAAGCTATTTAGAGAATATTCATGAAGTACGTGGCATGGAAATTGGATAGAACTTATCCACAGCAAGGTATCGACAACAATATACTATTAAATCGGTTCAACTTCTCATCTCTTGAAAATTGCAGGACATACATTTCATGTACCTTTATATATAAATTAATAAATAATTTAATTGATTGTACAGAGCTCCTAGAATAAATTAATTTATATATACCACGACTAAATAGGGGAAATTAGCAGACATTTTACCTCTCTACTCCCAGAATGAACATCATGATGAACTCTCCCTTAAATAGAATGTGCATTGATTTTAATGAAAATACTAAAGAGATTGACCTATTCTCATGTTCATTGAATCAGTTTAAAATAAAATCAAAATATTATCATAAATTAGCCAGTTTTTTAATCTTTCTTTTTTTCATTACATGTTTGTCTATTTTTGTTAAATTTGGATATTTATTACTATTCTTATTTATGTTTATTTTTATTATATATTATATACTTGTTTCAGCTCTATTAGTATTTAAGCTGTCCAGTAATTGGGTGTACTCTTGTTTGTACAATAAAGTTTTTTTTTATGAGACAGTCATGTTATATGCACCTTGGTCGTATGATCGTTTTTGCCTAACCAGAAGTTGTTTGGCCTCGGCTACGGCTCGGCCGCAAATTTCTGATTCGGCAAAAAAAATGAACACGGCCTTGATACAGAAATATCTATTTCAACTTTAAAATACTTGTGTTGATCATATTATTTGAAAACCTTCTTTAAGATGCAGAGAACTTCTAAACTCCAGAAGTCATTAGGTAAAAATACAGAGTGGTAAATCAAGATGAATCAGTGAATAGAAATATCACCTCTTTTGCTTTGCAAATCTTCATACAATATAATCTATCTATAATAAGGAAAGTAAAATCAAAAACCGATTAATTATTAAAATAAGTCTAACCAAAATATTGTTGTCTGTTTTTTTTACAAATATTGTGGTATTAACCACAGGAGAATTTGCTTTCTGGAGGCGAACTTGCATTATTTGGTGACACAGCTTAAAGTTTTGATCAAATTTGAGTATGGAATTAGGTATTTTCCATTTTATTAACGATTAGAAACTTAAAGTATGTCTGCATTCCATTTCAATAATGGGGACGACTGTAAACGATTGTGATTTAGTATAATTTCTCTTACCTGTAAACTCGGATGACACTGCAGGTCCAGCAACATTTTCACAACACCGATATGTCCTTTATTAACACCGATATGCAAAGCAGTTTGTCGTCTTTTATTACGCGCGTTTAAATCGGCCCCGGCGTGCGCCAATAATTGTACGACGGACGGTTCGTCACCGAAAGCGGCATGGTGAACGGCTCTGTCACCATCTTTGTCTTCGATTTCGACATCGGCGTGATATCTCAGCAGTACTGATATCACTTCTAAATGACCGTTTTGACTGGCGGCTTGCAGGGCTGTGTGACCGGCAAAGACCCCGTTTACGTCCGGACCTGAAAGAAAAGTAGAAATATAACGATGATGATAATACTTTTTAGATCATACAATATGCCCCATTTAAGATATGAGGACCTCTATAAAATGTAATTTATTATGTAAAATTAAGTATTTTTTTTTATTCTTTATTTTTATTACACTATTCAACAGAAAAATTGTTATGATTTTCGCACATTCTGTAAAGTGGGGACGACTTTTGAGGATAGGCGTAGGCAAATAAAACATCTGTGTATTTCTTTTACTAGGATGTGGCACGTACTTCTTCACAGTCAATTAGATGGTGAATAACTTTGAATAGAAATACCTGTTGTGTGATAATTCTACAGGGCTCAAGCGATTTGCCAGAAAAACGTTCAGGAAGTGCATTGTGGAGATACCCTATAGCATGATATGTGCCGTCTTGTTTGAAGGAATTAAAGAAGCAAGCTGGACTGATTCTAAATCAGAGATATAAATACTATAGAATGGAGCCCAGATGACAGAGGCATATTTAAGTTTGGATCTCGCATAAGAGTTGTAAAGTAGATGAAGAGTATGAAATTCGGTGAAAATTTTTAAATTGCAAATGACGAAGCCTAAGAACTTACATGATTCGCACGTTTTCTTTTGCATATGTTATGAAAAAGATAGTTTTGAGCCAAACCATACCCCAAGATCGTTGATTAAGTCTGCTCTAGGTATTGATGTAACATCAAGCAAATAATTAGCTCTGATATTTTGTTTTAATAAGTAACTCATAACATAGCATTTAAATGGGTTTAATAGGAACCAATTTTTTACATACCATTTGTTAACAACCTTGTTTAAGGCTGCGACATTTGATCCAGCGGTTTTGCAACAAAGCAAGTATTCAATACATTGTACATAGATGGCAATACCTGTACCTGTAGCTCGTATAACAATTTTATTTTTAAGCGTACTTGTTTTTATATCCAGGTTGCCAAATCTAGGTTGACAGATACCAATAAATGTTTTAGAAGAATAATATATTTTGCGATATCCAGTTTCAATTTAATAATTGCACTGTTACATGAAAAATTAATCTGTCAAAACTTGTACCTAGTTGGTAAGTAGTAAGTAGGTTAACCCTTTCAGTCACGCATTTTTTCTAGCCATAGGAAAAATCTGATTTTTGGCACTATAAAAGAATGATTTTTTTATTGATTTTTGGTAAAAAGAAAAAAAAATATATATTACAGGTTTCCGAGTTATAGCATGTATTCAATTGAATACATTGTGACTTAAAGGTATAAGAGGTTGGTGCAAAAAATACTGTTTTTTTTTTAGATTTTATTTTATATCACATTTATTTGACATGGAAACTCAGAAAACAGTTTTTTTCCTTATTTAAACATAAGTGTACTTGGCATTTAATACAAATTACTCGAGTTTGTCCCTTACAATCTAGATTTTTACATCTAGATGCAAATTTTTTTGAATCAAAATTGGGAAAATGACCAAGTTGGTCAAACTGAATTTCCGAAACTGGTCTTATTTCGGTAGCTCTAGAAGTCGATGGAGAGGGGGGAGCGGGACTTGGTGGGTTGGAGGTAGCAGATGATGGACGTCCCTTTTTCCTTGCTGGTGTTTTATTGGCTTTTATTAGTACTTCTGCAACGTAAGCCCTAAAACCAAGAAAAATATTTTTCAAAAAAATAATAAGGACTTTCTAGTTCATCCGAATCACATGGAATATTTTTTTCATACCAATCGACATTTGGAGAAATATAAGTAGCATCCTTTATCCAAATTATATCTGTCTTTTTCGTCAAATTATTGTTTTTCATAAAAACTTCAATCCTTGCTTCTTTTTCTTTTTTTTCTTTCTGTTTTCTCTCTCTGGGTAGTTCCATTTGCTCAGTTGCGTCATACATTGGAACATCAATATTTCCTTCAAGAGCTGCAACTTCAGTATCTGGATCCATTTCGACTATTGTTTCATCAACTTCCTCGGAAAGGGGTTCTGAAGCCATTTGTCCAACTTCCAGCCCTTCATCCTCACTTTCGTCAAAAATATCGGCCCCCACCCCTTCTACTTCATCGTCATCATCGCTTAAAAATTCGATGTCTGACAAGCCATTTTCAATGAGATCCAGCAGCTCTTCGTTAGTCAAAGGCTTTCTTTTATTGAATTTTGAAGCCTTCAATAAAAATACCAAATCAATAAAGAAAATAAAAAAAAAAACAAATATGCTTACCATCTCTAATCGGTCCTTTGAGTCACAATGTATTCATTTGAATACAGCACTTTTCTAAAAATGTTTATGGAGAAATCACAAAAAATACCTATCAAATAAATTTATCAGGTAAAAATGCAATGTTTTTTAACCTTATTCCACAATATATAAAGTCACAGTGATTCACAGAACTTCCTCGATTAGGCAATTAAAAATTACTCTGCAACGTGTCTCCTAAATCACATCTGATCTGACATTTACAAATATTTATAACGTTCGCCATATAATATGTAGATGTCGCTACATGTGCTAAATCAAATATCTATAGGTGTACTATACCATAGAATATTAAGAGATAGATGTACAACTCTTGAGTTTATTTAGGAAAAATAAAAAAGTCGATGTATACAATTGAATACAGTATGACCGAAAGGGTTATATGTAACAAGAAGAAAAAAAACATTAAATTTTACTTTAGAATAATATTTCAACATTTATTAACATTATTGGTATATTGTATTCACTTGTAAACTATATTTGACGGTCATAATAATAATTTTAATCCTAAAGAACCGGGTCAATTGAACTTTTCCACATCGCAATTTTTGGGTTGGAGTGAAAGGTATTTTATGGTTGGGTAGAAATTTTATTACTTTATGGTTTTTCCTAATCCGAAGGGTTTTGTTTACATTTTACCTAAAAATTTGCAAAACTTCTATAAATATAAATCGATTATTTTAGAATTTAAATGATTCCTCGATTCATTTCGGTAATAAAATAAGAATTTTTAATTTTTTATGCCTACTTATTAGGTAATGGTACCTCTAAAATGCATAATGATATTCACAAAGCATGTATCTTCTAGAGACCCCACGCCAATGTTAAACTTTTAAACCAAATTAGCGCCACCTTGTGTTTGGAGCTGGAACTAAAATGACAATTGACAGATGGCGGTAAATTCAAATTGTAATTTTTAGGAGTAGGTAGTAGTTTTAAATTAAATTTTAAATGATTTCCACATAAATTATTTTATAAAATAAAGTATGGAACTAGTAAGTTCGAAACTTTTATTTTACAAAATAATTTAGGTCGATTATACCAAATTTGAAGAATTAATTTGTTATAAGGGGTCTAATGAGGAGAGTTGGTTCTGCATATTTTTATTAAATAAATATAAGATATATCAATAAATAATAAAATAGAACATTCTTAAAATATGTTTATTAATAACTTAAATAAATATTATTAGATAAAAATAAATACAAATAATAAAACATATTTAACGAATACTTACTTGGAGCAAAGAGATATATAATCTCAAATCTTTAAAATACCTATCAATAATTTAAATGTGAAGTAGAGACTAGGATATTACATTTTATTAACACTAAAGTTATATATTTTATAAATGTCTTTTTAACTGAGGACAAATGTAATATAGGTATTGTATTAAAAGGTGAATCCTTTTAACTATTCATTCAATGATAAATAGGTATTTTCCTTCCAAATACAGATGGTGATACAGATTTCGGAATCTAGTCCAGTGATAAATTGATTATCAATTAGTTGTTGTCCCCGTTTGTCTTTTTATGATGCAGATGCATGGTGAATATATGGTGAATCAATGAAGTTTTTCTCGAAGTTTTCAACGGAGCACCAAAATTATTGCAAAACACAGTAGGAAATAAAAAAGCGAAACATCACAATTTTGCAAATAACTAAGACGAAACTATAAACAGAAACCAAAAGCCAAAGCCAACAAAAAATCACTAAAATCAGACGGAAAAATGAAACTAACCAAGAACATAAATAAATACACGTCACATCTTTGGAGTCTTTGGTTAAGTTTTTCTCCCATAAGGCTTAAAAATGGAGTAAGAAATCATAATTTCACCAGTAGCCCCATCTAGAGTTTGGAGCAAATAGCATAAAAAATGTCAGTTGTCGGTTTTGACCTTGGTCATTCACGTGGAACCTCTATGTGCTTTGTGATGATATTACTTAAGTAAAAATATAATTTGACAATTGGGATCTGAAGATAAGCGATACGCCTTCTACTGTGAACTAAAAGTTATGCCATTTGACACTTGACCGTCTGTGTTCTGTCAAGAGTGTCAAGTTTTGTTTATTGTTTATCAGGTCATTTCAATATTTTAAAATTTAACAAGTATTTTGTTTGAAATATCTTATTTAATAATAAGCTAATGCTTTAAATTTATATCATATATATTAAAATATTATTTTATTTGAACTATAAGTGGAATATCAGTGAAAAACACACTTGTTGGGTGCCCGGATGCAGCCCTAAAAAAATGGACCTTCTTTTACATTTCATTTGCTTCCTAAGTTGGTAAATGTAGGGTAATTTTTATAAATTGCAAGTGGAAATTCTGCAAGAAGTGCATGGTTACAAAAATTAAAAATTGAGAAGCATTTTAAAGAAGATGATTTGCCTAGAGGTAATATAGATTTATTTTTCGATTGAATGTTTTTATTTTGCCTTTTTTTGTGTTGTAGATGCCTCATCCAAAGTGAAAATAAATATAAAAAAAAATCGTTGTCTTCCTGCCAGTTTTTAAGTAAATGTTTGACGATTCTGTTCAATAAACTTCAAAATCAAATATTGAGAGAACAAAAAGAAGATCCAAACCACAGAATAAAGATTTTGTGTCCAAACTAAAAAAAGTTCAATCAGTGTTAAATGTGATAGTGAGATTAAACAAAGTCATAGTTGAGAGTGATTTGTTTCAAGATAACCTAGCTACTCATGCCAAACAAGACAGAGGTTGCAAATACTCTTTTTCAAGTATATTGCCATT